AAAAAGAAAAAAAAATAGCAGCAGTCTAGTGTAAGGTCTTTATGCCTCAGTAAGCTAAACATTTCTTTTCAGGTTTTTAAATTTTGTATGAAACGTATTGCAAACAAATGCGGCATTAAAATACATGGTAGTTCACCTACTTGCTTTAAAACATTCAAATTTAAACTCTTTTATCACTGCAGGTCTTTCCTTTATGGAACTACTTTCATTGCCATATTGCTGAAATACATATACTGGCATATATACGCAAAAGAAATTCCCAAAATTAACTTTAAAATGATCTTTTAGTTCGAGTTCTGTAGACAGAAAAGATTTTCTTCCTCTTTCATGTAACATGTAGTGCTGTAGGTGGGGGATGGAGTACTTTTGTGCATTTTTTGCCTTTATTAATTAGCTGTAGGAGATGGTTGGTCTCAGTAGAATTTAGGCCAAGATTCTATAAAAAGCTGTGCTGCTTTTCCTGGGGATAATGTGGAATTTTAACTGGTTTTCTTCTAGATGGACTAATGGTGCAAATAACACGAGAAACAATGGAAAGCCTACGTCAGGCATTAAGAGACAAGAAGGACTTCAAAATAACCTGTGGAAAAATGGATGCAGAGGACGTGAAAGAATATGTCGATATTTGCTGGGTAGAAAATGAAGAGAAAACAAACCAAGGGTAAATGTACAACCACAGCCAGACATCTGAGAGGATTCTTGCTCCCAATGTTGAAATATCTGCCTTTAATTTCTGGAAATTATTCTAAAGTATTGTTTTGACAGAAAGTGCTTGATGCCAAAGACGGTTTATAGTGTCTTAAACCTAGTCTTAGAGTCCTAAACCTGCAAGATTAGGTTTCTATTACTGCTATTAGTTCCCTGTTTAGGATATTTCTTTTTGTACCATCTGCATTTTCATAGTGCAAGTCCTGCATTGTATTTTGTTGTAAAGATGTTTAAATAGCCTTGAAGGATGGGTAAGTATTATTTAATAGAATTACTGTATCTAAACTATAAATGTTGTTAAATTACTAATCATACTATTGTTTTCCACAGAATTTTAAGCCCAATTGATGGAAAATCAATGGAAGGAACTCAGAGTGAAAAAGCACCACAATACGAAGACTTTAAAAGAGAGGGAAAAGTTATGAAGTGCACTGAAGTTAGTGACTTTCATAGTTCTTGAGCCTTTTTTATTACTTGTTGAATATCTAAGTGGTAATGTGATGGTACTGGTACTATTAAAATGAGCTGAGGTTATGTGTAGCCATCCTGCCAGGCAGAATGATCTCTGCAGCTCCTTGGTGAGTTTACACACTTGTCATTTTTCTCCTCTGAAAAAGACTGAAGTCTGTTAGCAGTGACAGCTCTGTAAATGCTTCATGCAGGCATTCCCATGGTTCCTGAAGGATTTTGATTGTGTGGATGAAATACTTGGGTGCTTTGCCAGCAGACAAACATCAAAGCTTGCCCTGTTTGGTGTTATGTGGACCTGAACTACTCTTTTTTCCTAGCTTTGGGATGTGCCAGGCTGCTGACTGCCCTTCCCTTTCTCTGGTCTCAGGTTTACTATTTTGTAAAGGATCATGAACTATCCGGTGCTGGTGCCCACCAGTTTGCAAAAGAGATTGCCATTGCCTGCAGCACTGCTCTCTGCCCTCACCTTAAAACCTTGAAAAATAACGGGATGAATAAGATAGGACTCAGAGTTTCCATTGACTCAGACATGGTAAGCTTTCCACTTTTATTGCACACGTTGTAGAAATGTGTAAGTACCTTGTACCTTGTAAGCACCTTGGATCTCTCCATGAATATTTTGGGAGTTTCTCCCTACCCAAGATCCAGGCTGAGAATGACATTTGGGGAAGAAGCTGCCTTAGTCATTAATTTCTCACTTCATGGTAGCTGAAATATTCTGTGATACAGCACTTTTTGCAGTCTTCTTAATACAAAAAGTGTTAATTAATGTCAATTTGTTTCCCTCACAGGTCGAATATTTAGCAGGATCTGGAGGGCACCTTCTTCCACAGAACTACCTGAATGACTTGGACAGTGCTCTGATTCCTGTGATTCACGGTGGAATGTCAGATCCTGCAGCTCTGCCACTGAAAATGGAATTAGTGTTTTTCATTATAGAGCACCTGTTTTGATGAGGCTGATTACATGCATATACTGATTTGCTAGGTCTGAACACCAAAGTTGTAATGCTACAAACACTAAAAATGTTAAAGTTTCTAAACCTGTTATGTTTTAATAGCTTTTCAAACTGTTTTTTTAAAGCCCCTCAGATCCTCTCTGGTTCCTCTGCCACAAAACAGTTGCAGTTTGTGTCATGAAGTTCTGAAAGTTTACACTTAATACAGGTGCAGGGGAGTGCAGGTTGTGTTACTCCTCACGCAGTTGTAGCACTGGGTAGGTGTGGTGTAACTCCAAGTGGCAGGGTCTTGCCTCTTACCCTCACATGAGCGTTACTAAAAGTTGCTGGGGTTCGAGTGATCTCTGCAGGTGCTTCCCCCTGCTTGGCTGACACTGGAGCGGGGCTGGCCCGAAACTGTTTCCTTTCCACGGGAGGCTGAGAGGCCGGAGCTGCTGTGGGTCTGAGGGTAAACACTTCACTGAAGTCTTTAACCTGGGGATTTGATGCTGGTGCTTCAGGAACATATGCTCTCAATTAATGTTTTATAGAGTAACTGTTTTCTTTCTTGTATTTATAAGGATTTATCTAACTTAAATGGATGCTATTTTTATAAGAAGTGCTTTTTTCTTTACTCTCTGTTCAGAATTCCATATACAATTTGACCTTTCAAGGATTAGGAAAAAGCAGATTACCCTTCATGTAATCTACATTTAGCAATAAGTCAGACAAGAATTCTGCAGTATTGTTTCTGCTCCTGTCTACTGCTTTTGCCACATTTTAGTAGCCACCTTTGCTTTCAGGGAGACCAGATGTATTAAGTCTGAATTTTCACGAGCAGGCTGATTCTAGTGGAAGGTGTCCCTGCCTGTGGCAGGTGGGGTTGGAGCTCTTTTAAGGTCCCTTCCCACACAAACTGTTCTGGGATTTTTAGTATACCTGAGGTTCTTGCATAGGATGTATTTTTGATACTGGGTCATTTAGATTTATTTATGTATTTGTGATGCATGTGATTTGTACTGAGGTTCATCGAATGGCAGTTGGGGTTTGGTCTCAGCCACACAACTGCTTGTCGAGAACAGAACCAAAACTAAATATATACAAGATCTATATTGTTTTCAGTAAAAATGCTGGTACAATTTTATAATGAGAGTATTAAAACTTGGATGCCTTCTTGATGCTAATAGGGGATATTTTATGTTTTTGTATCAAAAACAATTTGTAATTTAACCTAATCTGCTCTGCTGTTATCTGTGCTTTAACACTCCAGTCCTAGAAGGGTTCAGGCGTTGAGATCTTACCCTGGATGGAAGGAACTGAGCTGCATTTCAGCTTCTGTGCTGACTTCTCCTGAGAAGCTGCTGTTAGGGAGAAGGGCTGAATGCACGCACAGTACAAACAAAACGTGTTCTTGTTGAAAACAAGCTGCACCCAGGCCCTCGAGAGAGCCCACCAAGAGGCTGAACAGCGTTTTGGGTCTGTGACAGGGCCTGAAGGAACAGCTGCCTCTTGGCACTTAACCTCTACTAACTCCTTTTCAGTAATGATCAATAAAGTTAACTACAGTGCTTGTGACCTCCCACCTCTTTATAATGAAAAAAACACGATTTGGAATGCGTGTGTCCTGTCTCTGCAGATGTCTGGGACTCCTGATGTTGCCCCAAAAATGGGACTCATTCCTCAGTGTGCCCCAGGGCCACAGTGACACCCCGGAGAGAGACCCTGGGTGCCCACCAGGCTGGGCAGGTCTGGGTGCTCGGGGTGCTCGGCACACCCCGCTGCCCTTTCCCTGCCATGATTTTCACTCTGTGCACAAAGGCAGAGCTGGTCCCTGTGTTCAGCGCTCAGGGATTGCCCTGCAGCTCTGGGAGCCC